ATGGTATTTTATTGGAGATGAACAGTTTGTATTTTAATGAAATTCAGCAGAAACTATTTGACAACTTTTACTGGCAGACTTTTAACAGTTTTTAAAGATTGTTGTTGTGCCAACAAACCAAGCCTTTCTCTCTGCTCCAACTTAACCTTTGATATCTTGTTATCAGTGGTGGAACGCAGGAAAACTAGTTTTTCAGGTCTGTGTTTGCTGCCAGCTGCTGGTTTGAGGAGAGGAGGAGGAAAAGAGGAACAGACAGAAGGAGGTGTAGAATAGTTAAACTGGCTCTTCACTGCCCTCCAGTGGTCAAAGTCAGTTACTACAACATACTTTTTATTTCCATGAAGCAGAGCAGTAAAATCCTCCCTATCAGCTGAGGCCATAGATAGCACCACCAAGAGGCTAGAGAAAGATTAGCTTCCCCAAAATTATCACTTCACCACCTACTTCACATAGCTATGTCCGGTCAGCATCATACTACACTGATCTGAGTTCAGTAGCAGATCCACCAGCCAGTATCCACACATTGATTTTCAACAAAGGCTAATTGGCTGTCATTGTCCAGAGATCAGTGTGGGAGCTTTACTCCGTCACTACGTCACTCACATGAGCACATGTTCATGTTTTATTTGCACTGTAAAATTAATCAACTGAATTAGTTTGGAAATCATGGATGGATTTGTTTTCAAACGCCCTTGGACAGAATAGGTTCTGGAAAAATACTTTTTTAAAACAGCAGTCTCCCTTTTAAGTTAGACATTTTATGTGCTGATGTATTTGGATTTTTGAGCTGTTGTGGTCTGGGTAGACTAACTTCAGGAAACAATGCAGTGTTTTTTGCAGTCTGTGTGTCAGGTTTACCTTTGCCTTCTATCTACTGTACCTCTGCCACAGCTTACAGACCAACTCCTTTTTCATTCATATGAGATATCTGACTGTGATTCTCTTCAGCAAGAACAAAACAAACATATTTGACTGGTGAAGACAAACTGAGGTCAGGATAAACAAATGTTCATGTGTGTGAAGAATGGTTGATTGAATTGATTGTAGCTTTTCATTTGTCATTGCAAACTCCTTTGAGCGCTCCTTATCACCCACAAATCTGGCCCAATGCTTATCTAACATCTAGATAATATGTCCACTTAATCTAACTTGCTTTACAACATCTTTCACATACCTGTGGAGCAGTAAGAAACAGACACAAGTCTACCATTACCGTTATTGAATTACAACTGTGTGTCACATATGTGAAGGTACATTCGGTCAGATGACACCAGCAGCGTCCATCAGTGTCTGCAGACGAAGGTAGAAAGTCTCTGTGATGTCATCCAGTCTTTAACAGGTGAGAACAGGTAACATGACACAGCTTTGATGACGAAACTCTGCTGTCAATCTTTCTATATTTTGGGGGTTACATAATACACTTGAAACGAGAGCAGTGATTCAGTGTTGACAGCACTGCCTGACTTTAACAGTGAACCGCAATGATGGCTGAGGACCTTTTGAACACTCTCAAGGATTTGAGAATCGAGGAATTTGAGGAGTTCAAATGGTTCCTGACGCAGCCTGACATCCTGGAAGGATTCAAAACCATCACAGTATCTGAGCTGGAGAAGGCAGAAAGGTGGAAAACAGTGGATCTGATGGTGAACACCTTTAACCTTGATGGAGCTCTTAAGGTGACCAAGAAGGTTTTAGAGAAGATAAAGAGGAACGATCTGTTGAATAGTCTGCCAGACACCAGATCAGGATCAGAAGGTCAGTCGCACTTTAATTATTTATATTTCTCGTAAAAAGAGGTGACTCAATACCGGGTACTTGTCAGGGTCTCCAAGTACAGGTTATTTACCAAAGAGTAAAACTGGAGGCCTGATCTGGTTATTACAAGAAAAGGTTTAAGTTATCAATCATTGCTATTCAAGAGGACAGAGGCATGATAGAGCTACCTGATTTCATTCACTTTTATTTTGGTTTAAGACAATCATTAATGTGTTTGTCACTAAGTAATCTGGATGGTTTTATTATTAGTCTGGTATTTTATGCCTTGAGTAAATAACCAATGAGATGTCCTGATGAGTTACATACATGAGGTTGATGTGTTGATAGATGTGAAATAAAGCTGTAGCTTCCTTTTGAATTTCTCCTATAAAGGTAAATATTATCTTATTTTATCTTTCCTGCAGAGAGAGCAGCAATGGTATAGAGCTTAAGATTGAAAGAAAAACATGAACAAGAACAAATCAAAGCACATAGCAGTAAATCAAATAAATAAAACATTGTTTTCTTCTTATTTCAGGACGGCTATGTTCTAAAGCACAAATAAACACATTCTATCCTGCAGGATGTAGACTGATTTTACTGAAGAAAAGCCACTAACTAAGCTCCACTCCAGTAATAAACACAATAAGTTATTTAAAAGCTTTTATTATGACGCAGCAAAATCAGGAAGTGTTGGGTTTTCAAGAACAGTAATTAAATAAAGCAGATATCTGAAAGTACAAACAGGGAGGCAGGACAGAAACTAAACTTCAAACCCAGGAGATTTAGTTAGAAGCTACAAAAGTGGCCGTACCTATGATATCAGGAGACGTTACACATCTATAAACTAAAGTGGGTTTGTTGTGACAGTGCATTTTGATTCAGTCCTTTACTGTTAGCACCATCAGACCTGTGACTACTCACAGCAGCTAAAACTTTCATGAGTTCAGAACAGACGAATGAAGACTAATGCAAGGATTTACAAATCAGTTGATTTCTTTTAAATTTATTAATCCATCAATACATTTTTTAGCTTAAAATAACTTTTAAATGAACAGTGAACAAGGAAGGAGGAAGCACCCTTCTCTACTATGTAAAGTGTGTTTAAGCCGAATGTGAGGAAAGTTCTCAAGCCAGATGTCTGAAATCAGAAGTCAATACGAGGATGAAACTGGCTCACCCAGAGACACAAACTGCCAACCCTGATGGTCTTTGTTATGTGTTTGTTCAGGAAGTCATGCAGCAGATTGTCAGCGTGAACTTAAATCTAACCTGAAGAAGAAGTTCCAGTGTGTGTTTGAGGGGATTGCTAAAGCAGGAAACCCAACCCTTCTGAACCAGATCTACACAGAGCTCTACATCACAGAGGGAGGGATTGCAGAGGTCAATGATAAACATGAAGTCAGACAGATTGAAACAGCATCCAGGAAACCAGACAGACCAGAAACAACAATCAGACAAGAAGACATCTTTAAATCCTCACCTGGAAGAGATGAACCAATCAGAACAGTGATGACAAAGGGAGTGGCTGGCATTGGGAAAACAGTCTTAACACAGAAGTTCACTCTGGACTGGGCTGAAGACAAAGCCAACCAGGACATACAGTTCACATTTCCATTCACTTTCAGAGAGCTGAATGTGCTGAAAGAGAAAAAGTACAGCTTGGTGGAACTTGTTCATCACTTCTTTACTGAAACCAAAGAAGCAGGAATCTGCAGGTTTGAAGAGTTCCAGGTTGTGTTCATCTTTGACGGTCTGGATGAGTGTCGACTTTCTCTGGACTTCCACAACACTGAGATCCTGACTGATGTTACAGAGTCCACCTCAGTGGATGTGCTGCTGACAAACCTCATCAGGGGGAAACTGCTTCCCTCTGCTCGCCTCTGGATAACCACACGACCTGCAGCAGCCAATCAGATCCCTCCTGAGTGTGTTGACATGGTGACAGAGGTCAGAGGGTTCACTGACCCACAAAAGGAGGAGTACTTCAGGAAGAGGTTCACAGATGAGGAGCAGGCCAGCAGAATCATCTCCCACACCAAGACATCACGAAGCGTCCACATCATGTGCCACATCCCAGTCTTCTGCTGGATCACTGCTACAGTTCTGGAGAAAGTGCTGAAGAACAGAGAGGGCGGAGAGCTGCCCAAGACCCTGACTGAGATGTACATCCACTTCCTGGTGGTTCAGTGCAAACTGAAGAATGTCAAGTATGATGGAGGAGCTGAGACAGATCCACACTGGAATAAAAAGAGTAGGAAGATGATTAAGTCTCTGGGAAAACTGGCTTTTGAGCAGCTGCAGAAAGGCAACCTGATCTTCTATGAATCAGACCTGACAGAGTGTGGCATCGATATCAGAGCAGCCTCAGTGTACTCAGGAGTGTTCACACAGATCTTTAAAGAGGAGAGAGGACTGTACCAGGACAAGGTCTTCTGCTTCATCCATCTGAGTGTTCAGGAGTTTCTGGCTGCTCTTCACGTCCATCTGACATTCCTCAACTCTGGAGTCAATCTGCTGGCAGAAGAACAAACAACATCCTGGTGGTCTCAATTAGTATTATTTTTTTTCCCTGACAAACAGAATCTAAAATATCTCCACCAGAGTGCTGTGGACAAGGCCTTACAGAGTCCAAATGGACACCTGGACTTGTTCCTCCGCTTCCTCCTGGGCCTTTCACTGCAGACCAATCAGAATCTCCTACAAGGTCTGCTGACACAGACAGGAAGTAGCTCACAGACCAATCAGGAAACAGTTCAGTACATCAAGAAGAAGATCGAAGAGACTCCCTCTGCAGAGAGAACCATCAATCTGTTCCACTGTCTGAATGAACTAAATGATCGTTCTCTAGTGGATCAGATCCAACAGTCCCTGAGTTCAGGAAGTCTCTCCACAGATAAACTGTCTCCTGCTCAGTGGTCAGCTCTGGTCTTCATCTTACTGTCATCAGAAAAAGATCTGGATGTGTTTGACCTGAAGAAATACTCTGCTTCAGAGGAGGCTCTTCTGAGGCTGCTGCCAGTGGTCAAAGCCTCCAACAAAGCTCTGTAAGTACATAGAGAGTTGGATATCTGTATCATAAAAGAAATACTGTGCTATCTTTTCGAGTCAGAGAGATTATAAAGACATTATATATCACCAACATTGGGAACTCCTCACTAGCTGCTGGTATCATTTTTACAGAACTAGTTTAAAGTGCTGGACACATATGTTATTTTTCTTATTGTTGATCATTGTCTCTACAGACTGAGTGACTGTAACCTCTCAGAGAGAAGCTGTGAAGCTCTGTCCTCAGTTCTCAGCTCCCAGTCCTCTAGTCTGAGAGAGCTGGACCTGAGTAACAACAACCTGCAGGATTCAGGACTGAAGCTGCTGAATGTGGGACTGAAGAGTCCACACTGTACACTGGAAACTCTCAGGTCAGGATTCATTAACCCGTTCAATTGATAACCGTGTTAAACCTGAATTATGTTAACAAATAACATTTGAACCTTTATAACATTGTCTCTGTTTATATGATTTGAAACCTGTTTTGTTTATTTAGTTTGAGTCTCTTTCCATGAACAAATATATTTTGTAATGTGTTGATTTGTGTGTTTGCAGGCTGTCAGGCTGTCTGATCACAGAGGAAGGCTGTGCTTCTCTAGCCTCAGCTCTGAGCTCCAACCCCTCCCATCTGAGAGAGCTGGACCTGAGCTACAATCATCCAGGAGACTCAGCAGCAAAGCTGTCTGCTGGACTTGAGGATCCAAAATGGAGACTGGACACTCTCAGGTATAAGAATCAGAATCAGAATCTGGTTTATTGCCAAGTAAGTTTTCACATACAAGGAATTTGCCTTGGAACATGTGCAAAGGAATTATAATAAAAAGGCAGAAAAATATAAATTAAGATAAAATGTTTTAAAACAGAGACAATAAAAAAGAGCCTCTTTGTAAATAAATGTGTAAAGAGCTGTGCATAAATGTGCAAAATCTATCGGTAAGTCTGTAAGTTGGCAGTGTGACATATAATTATATTTGCAATGTGCAAGATAGAAAAACCAACGGAAGTGCGCGATTACAATGCATTCATATATATAATGCATTTCCAGATTGGGTTGAAGAGTCCGTGTCAGTGGGGGACCTGGGTCTTGTTGATGAAACTACTGCAGATGGGAATAAACTGTTGGCAGCTTCCTGCCAGAGGGAAGTGTTTCAAAGAGTCTGTGTCCAGGGTCTAGGTTGTTCTGGCTGCACCAAGTCACCAGACGGTCCATCTGTGGGTGGGGAAGCTGATGAGATGGAGCCTGTGAAGGGTGTCACAGGGGCACGGTATCAGAACTCATTCAGTTGTTGATGGAGTGGGGGGTTTTAGGTTTGTAGATGGTTATCTGTCTGAGCCCCTTACAGACAGAACCAGAGTTGTTGGCTGAGAACTGGTGTTGAAGTTTCTCAGACTACTGTCATTCAGCTTCTCTCTTTGTTCTTTCTAGCCTTCATTTTTATGGATTTCTGTCTCCAGTGCTTGAAATGTCTTAGTTTATTGTGAACACTGCATGCATGGGAGAAAACAGTCTGTGTTTGTGTCTGTGTTTATTCTCAGCTGATTAATAATAAGTGCTCCATGTGAAGATGTAAGTCCATTTGTAGAGAATAAGCTCTGTGTATGAGAGCGATGTAATGTCCATGTTTCCATGCTGCTCTGACCCCCCTCCTCCTTTCAGGGTGGAGCCTGCTGGAGTCCGATGGTTGAGACCAGGTCTGAGGAAGTGTAAGTGTGAAAACAAAGCAGCACACATTCAACCATCTTCACACTGTGACATCACTCATTCACAGCTCTGATGTCATCATCAAAGTGTCAATCAATGATCAGATGATAGATCAATAACTGCAGCTGTAGTGTGTCTTGTTCTCTCCATCAGATTCCTGTGAACTCACAGTCGACACAAACACAGTGAACAGAAAGATCAAACTGTCTGACAACAACAGGGAGATGACAGTTGTGTGGGAGGATCAGCCATATCCTGATCATCCAGACAGATTTGACTACTGGCCTCTGCTGCTGTGTAGAAATGGTCTGACTGGTCGCTGTTACTGGGAGGTCGAGTGGAGTGGAGGAGTTGATATATCAGTGAGTTACAGAGGGATCAGGAGAGGAAACAGTAGAGACTGTTTGTTTGGAGGGAATGATCAGTCCTGGAGTCTGGAGTGCTTTTATGGTCGATACTCTGTCTGTCACAATAACAGAGAAACATTCATCTCCTCCTCCTCCTCCTCCTCCTCCTCCTCCTCCTCCTCCTCCTCCCCCTCTGGTAGAGTAGCAGTGTATGTGGACTGTCCTGCTGGCACTCTGTCCTTCTACACAGTCTCCTCTGACACACTGATCCACCTCCACACCTTCAACACCACATTCACTGAACCTCTTTATCCTGGGTTCAGGTTCTGGTTTGGATCTTACAGCTCTGGTTCCTCAGTGTCTCTGTGTCCTCTGTAGGAGGGAGAGAGAAACCTTCTTGCTGCTGACCAGATAGTTCAGACTTTTACATTTGAAAAGAGAGACATAAAAAGTGTAAACCAAACCACTGATCAAGAACCAACTCAGCTGTTTATTCAATACAAGGCTGTAAAATTCAGAGAGTTGGTGGATTTTCAAACAGCACAGATCAGGTATAAAGTCAGAAACTAATGACGAGCTGAAAGAGTCCAAAAGTTGTTTGAAATGAGAGAAGTCCAAATGATTTGAGAAGAATCTGCGGGTTTAAGGACTGATGTCAGAAATCCCTTGGGTTAAAGAGGTGAACTTGTGGAGCAGCTGTAGTGAGGATATCAATCATTCCATTGTTAAAGAGGCTAAAAGGAGGAAAATGTGAACAACAGCTTTCAGTTGCTCTCACCATCTCAGCTGTTTCCTCTCATCATCGTCACACTGATTAACCCTTAAGGTCTCTGAGTTTGGGGTCAGATTGGGTTAAAGACAGTCGATACTTTGCTTTGTTTGATTAATTGATTGACTTTGATTTATTAGATCACTTTGCTGTTCTTCCCACAATCCCATGTAGTTCTTAGTTGTAGTTGTTCAGTTGAGTTCATGTATTCCAGTTATATACATATATATTCTGCTCATGTAGTCCTTTACCTTTATGTACTCAGGTTTAATGCTCATGGTTGTATTTTATGGTTGTATGATGAGTTCTTTAGATACACAGAGAGTCTTATATATCTGTACTCACATGCAGTCTCACATTCTTTTAAGTACTTGTATGCTCATTATTGTACATTTTTAACATCATACTCATTCTCTTGTCATGGATAATCATCCTTTCTATTGTACTCATTTCTTCACATCATGTTTTTGCTCATCACTTCGCATTATGGTCTTAAGTGTTTGAGTTGTATTAATCGTTTGAACTGTATTCATTTAGAAAATTATCTCAATTAAGCCTTCTCTCAGGTGTTGCAACAGGAAAAGTGTAGAGAAAGTTGTTATTCTGAAGCCTTCCACAGGAAGAACGGGGGTGAAAGGGAGGCTGTCTGCCCACAAGCTGGATGGAAAGTTGGAGAGTGTTAGAAAAGCAACTGCTGAAATCTGTAAATAGATGAGACAGACGAGGAGCCAGAGTCCTTGTTTTATGTATTTCTTTGAGCTCTGATTCCTTTTCAGGCCTTGGTTGTATCCTTTGACCTGTTGTATCTTTAACATGTATTGATGTTTGATTTCTTTAGAATTTGTATGAGTCATAGCGAGGAGAACTGTGTTGATTTGCAGTTAAATAAAGAGTATTAAACTTTTTGAAAGAGAATTCTTTGGTGGTTTTTCATCAAACCCGGACCAGGGTTGGTCCTCCTCTACGCCTCCAGGTAAGCCCCCCTCCACATGGTAGCTACATTATGGACCCCGAGACATTCCTTTAGGCCCCAGTAGAGACACCAGAGTATCTCAGAGTTTGTGTAACTAACTATCATCTGTATTTAGAGAACAGGAACAACAGGGTAGTCTCAACCGCTTGGTTATGTGCCCCCCTAATGTTTAGATAAAGGAGAGAAGGGAACTCCAGAGTAGGTTTAGCTCAAGTGCTGTGACACTTTGAAGAGATCGTTGTCTTCGGGATTGGCTGCTTTGTTAGAGCAGACACTCGCATCCTAAGAGCCCTATCACTGGATCAGAAAAAGTCTCATTGAAAAACTTCTGGAAAAGTCTTCTCTCACAACAAGCAGGTCCCTGGTGTCATGGTGTCAGAATCAAGTTCTTGCATGTTCCAAATATGGAAGATAGCTTGAGTTCCTCAAAAATCTTCCAATCATAAACCTTCATTATTAGTCTTTGACTAAACATTAAAAAAGTTTTTCATTCTGAGATGAAGAAAACTTTTAAAACCTTCAATTTATCTTTTTTTTCAGTTCCTGATGTCACTGTGATGTCACCACAGTGTATGATTTCTGTCTGTCTGTGTCGTTCTTGTTCAATAAAGTTTTAAAGAAGCAAACCTGCTGGTGACTCCCAGTGTGCAGTGGTGGAGGAAGTATTCAGTTGTTTTACTTCAGTAACAGTAGCAGTACTGCATGTAAAAATACTCAATCACAAGTTAAAGTCCTGCATTGAAAATGTCACTGAAATAAAAGTACTAACAATTCAAAAAAGTGTCCCCTTTGAGTGTTATATATGATATTATAGGATATAACGACTGAAACATTCATGTGTAACAATTATTTTAGTGTTGTAGAAGTTGAGGTGGAGATCATTTTAACTCTTTACTGGGAAGTGTTGGGTCTCTGTAAATACGTTCGATCTAGACCTGCTCTATTTGAAAAGTGTTCTGAGATACCTTCTGTTATGAATTGGCGCTATACAAATACAATTTTGTACATGGTAGTTGTAGTCCTACAGTATATTGCTTCCGTGCAGAATTTAGACTGAAAAGAGGAAGAACAGCAACACAACAACTAACTGACAATGGATGAAGAAACATGGAGTAATGTGCAGCAGGAAGGAAAGAAACAGACAGACCAACTAGAATGTTGTAAAACAACATTAATGTGTTTTCCAGAAAGAAATTAATAACAAAAAAATTATGTTTCACAGTGACAAGGTATAGAAAGTGTGCAGCAGTTATGGATACAAATCCTTCTATCTGGTGATCCCTTTCCTGAAGCTCTGACTTGAGGCAGTAGATATTCTCCCTTAGCTGTGAGTACTGAAGTTTCCAGTCTGCACATACAGCCATTATGGTATAATTCGGTCCAAAAGTAACTTATCAAACAACACAACGGGAAACACAAAGATAAAAGTAGACCATGATCAGTAAAAGAATAGTGTTAAAAACATGATATGTCAAGCGGAGTGGCACTACTGGACGTGTGCTCTCTTGGTGTGACGTCCATTTGACAATAACACTAAGTTACAGACAGACAGATACAGGATATAAGTCAGTGCTGTATACAGGGCAGAAGTTAATGCTGTTGATACAGGGCATATGTAAGAGCTGTAGATACAGGGCAGAGGTAAGTGCTGTAGATACAAGGCAAAGGTCTGCACTGTCTAATTAATATAATCACAACAATAATGATATTATCATTATTATTATTATATTTCAAATCAAATCAAAATTTCCCATATAAAACCTGTTAGTGTCATTCTCAAAAAGAAATCAAAGTTTTGGGATAATTCTGACATTATAAATTATGCTGGAAATCACATCTAAATTATGTCAAAGCAAAACAAATCGAAATTGATTACATTTTATTAAAGGAGAATAATCAACCAATGAAAAAGACACAGAAAAGAACAAGATTTAAGTATGAAATCTGGTTAAAGTTTGTTCCTTCTTTCTGTGTAACTTCTCCCTGGATAGGAAACCCAGTTTATGACTAACATCAGAGCCTTTTGACCTACGTTCCTCATCTATGATTAGAAATAGTTATGGCTTTCCAAATAATGTCTGGTCAAGCAATGTTATTTATCTGATCCTGTTTCATATTTGACAGAGACGTTCAAGCCTTAACCAATGTCTCATTTGTGCCTCATGTGTGTCTAGATGAATAGTTTCTCACATTGAAACCCACATTAAAATATAAATATAAATAATTCTGTCAACACATATCATCAACAATGTGTTTTGCATTTTATAAGTAAATTTCAGCTGGATCTGATCATCCTGCGAGGAGTAGAACATGAAAGTATAAAACGTGATACTTCCTGTTACCAGTATGTGGTGCTATCACTATGTCTGAATATTGTCATGTAGACGTGTTCAGGGTGGGACTGTTATCATACACGTGAAGTTTCATTGAGACTGGATCATGTACGGTGAAGTTATGAGGACGTGTTCAGGGTGGGACTGTACACTGAAGATGAGTACTATCTGTTTGCTGGCCAATCGGTGGAATTCGACACGTCGTCACGGGCACACGGTTAAACATACAGTCACAAATAGCACAACTTTTAATCAGCACCATTTTTTGACTGTACTGACCAATTTTGAAGTAGATCCGATAAATTCCCTAGGAGGAGTTCGTTCAAATACAACGCGAAAAGTTCGCTGAAAGTGAAAATTTAAATCAAAATGGCTGACTTCCTGTGGGATTTGGAGTATGGGTCCAAGAGGCTTTTTTGTACGTCCCGGCATGTTACACGTGCCTACCGAGTTTCGTACATATCGGTGAAATGTGGATCCTGTAGGGGGCACTACAAACACGACTAACACGATTTTTGGTATGTGAGCTTCAGGCACCACTCTACACGTAACCTGTGCATTTCATATTCATAACTATTACGGTCTCCGCACAGTGATTTACACTGCCACTAGAGTGCAACCCAGTGGCGTACTTTCTTTTCCTTTTTAGGTGAGCCTCAGGGACCCATGGGCAAACATCGTACCAAGTTTCATTTAAATCACATGTGCTGTTGCAGAGATATAAACTTCTTAATTTTAAAGAGCGCCACCTAGTGGCGATGGTCTGAAATTGTGTACGGTCCCTAAGGAAGACATGAGGAACTATGGACCCAAGTTTGGTGTCAATCGGACATACCAATGTTGAGAAATGGTCCTCTTCCTTTTTTGACGAAAAATCTACAGGAAGTCTTCATTTTATAGTGCGCTTATTTTTTGAAATTTCAAAAATGTTCAAATTACTTTTTTTGCCAGGGCGGTCCCCAGGTGCAAGGTGAAAAATTTCGTGCGAATCGGAAAAAGCGTGTAGGAGGACCACGGAAAAGTACTTTAAGGACATTTCGCGCTCTAATGAAAAGTTAATAAATTTTTTTTTTAAATTATAGGCGGAAGTGGGCGGGGCCTATATGGGGAGATTCAGCTCGGTCTAGACCTGCTCTATTTGAAAAGTGTCCTGAGATAACTTCTGTTATGAATTGGCGCTGAATTGAATTGAATTCAGCTCCATTCACCGAACGCGTAGATATAAGTTTTTTGAATGTGCGACTAAATATGCAAAAGTTATTAAGTAACCAAAAAGCAAAAACATTTTTCTTAATAGTAGCGCCACCTAGTGGCTGACTCGAAAAAGACGCATAGAATATAACATTTTTTACCAGGCCTGACAACTTTGCCAAATAAAATTGACTTTTCGTATATGTTCAGGGGGGCAAAAACGCAGTCAAAGGCGCTAAAAATAATAACAGGTAAGAATAATAAGAAACATAGCAAATACAATAGGGACCTCGAGCGGTCACTGGCTCAGTCCCTAATAATATCAGTGATATTAGCAATGGCAGTCAAGCAGAACCATGGCAGAAAGAGAGAGAGAGAGGAAGAGAGGAGCTCAGTGCACCATGAGAAATGTTCTGGAGAAGAATGACTGAATAATGGAGCTGAGACCTCCTTTAAATGAGGAGTGCTCCTCGTCTTGGAGGAGGATTTGGCACCCTCTGGTGTCACAAACATAAAGTGCAGTTCCAGAGGGGTAATAGGGTACTATGACCTCTTTAAGATATGAAGGGGCCTGACCATGAAGAGCCTTATTGGTGAGTAGGAGGATTTTAATTCTATTCTAAATTTTACAGGGAGCCAGTGCAGAGAAGCTAGTACAGGAGAGATGTGATCTCTTTTTCTAGTTCCTGTCAGTACTCGTGCTGCAGCATTCTGAATTAATTGGAGCGTCTTAATGGGTTTACTGGGGCAACCTGATAATAAAGAGTTGCAGTAATCCAGCCTAGAAGTAACAAATGCATGGATTAGTTTTTCTGTGTCTGTCTGTGACAGGATGAGATAACAGAGGGCCTTTCTATAGGTTTTAAGACTATCATGCCAAATTCAACGATATTCTAATAACATCACATTTTACATTATAAGGACTGCATTTCTCAAACCAAACTCAACTACTACTCTGGCATAATCTGTTCAAATGAAGGTAATTCCAAGTCACTGTTTTCTCTTCTCAACAATATTCTCAGACCCCCGGCCTCTCTCCCTCCCCACCTGTACTCAACTGCTTTCTGTAACTCCCTGATGTCCTTTTTCAATCAGAAAATTCCTCAGATCCACCTGCACCTAGGCCCAAGCTCCTCCCTCAGCACCTCCCCTGATACCTGTCTGACGTCTCACTCATTCTCCTTCTTTCAGCTCCCCTCTGACTCAGATATCTCAGACCTCATCTTAAAGTCCAAGCCCTCAACCTGTCAGTTAGATCTCCTCCCCACAGTTCTGGTGAAAGCCTGCCTCCCCTCTCTGCTCCCCCTCATCTCTGCCATCATCCATTCCTCACTCTTCACTGGAATTGCTCCTACACTCTTCAAAACTGCTGCCATCACCCCAATATTGAAAAAACCTGGTGCTGACCCTAATAATTATAATAACTTTCGTCCCATCTCCAACCTACCTTTCCTCTCCAAAGTCCTTGAAAAAACTGTTGCTTCCCAATTCATTCTCATCTAACCCTTAACAACTTGTACAAACAATTCCAGTCTGGTTTCCGCCCCCTCCATAGCACTGAATCTGCACTAATCAAAATCACAAACGACCTCCTCCTGGCAGCCGACTCTGGGTTACTCACTATTCTCATCCTCCTCGATCTGAGTGCAGCCTTTGACACCATCTCTCCCACTATCCTCCTCAACAGATTAATTTCCATTGGTATTTCACACACACACACACACACACACACACACACCCCTTGACTGGTTTAAATCCTACCTCTCAGGCCGCACTCAGTCCAACTCCAATCCTGCAGTTCCCACCGGTTCCCCGTCACCACTGGTATGCCCCAGGGCTCTGTCCTGGGGCCCCTTCTCTTCATCATCTACCTCCTTCCCCATGGCAATATCTTCCATTACATTAAATACAACATTCATTTTCACTGTTACGCGGATGACACCCAGCTCTACCTCTCCAGCAAACCCAATTCCACTCTCCCACCTTCCTCCCTTACTGACTGCTTCACTGAGCTCAAATCCTGGTTCTCCTCCAACTTCCTCAAACTAAACAGTGATAAAACAGAATTTTCTTCTTATTGGCTCTAAATCAACCCTCTCAAAAGCTGACAGTTTTTCCCTCACCATTGACCACTCCTCTGTCTCCCCCTCCCCCCAGGTTAAGAGTCTGGGTGTCATCCTTGACAGCACATTATCTTTCCAATCCCATATCAATAACTTCACCCGGTCTGCATATTTCCACCTACGCAATATTAATCGACTCCGCCCCTCCCTTTCTCCCCACTCCACTGCCATTCTTGTACACAGCCTTGTCACCTCCCGCATCGACTACTGCAACTCCCTTCTCTTCAGTCTACCTCACAAATACCTCCATAAACTTCAACTGGTTCAGAACTCTGCAGCTCGAATCATCACCAGAACCCCCTCCATCCACCACATCACCCCTGTTCTGCAGCAACTCCACTGGCTCCCGGTCAAACTCTGCATAAACTTCAAAATCCTCCTGTTTACTTTCAAGGCCATCCACAACCTTTCCCCTCCTTATCTGTCCGAACTACTCCACATCGCCACCCCTTCCCGTTCCCTCAGATCTGCCTCCTCTGTCCACCTCTCTGTTCCTCCCGCCCGCCTCGTCACCATGGGGAGCAGGGCTTTCAGCCGCTCTGCCCCCCGACTCTGGAACTCACTCCCACCGGACATCAAGAACCTGGACTCTCTCCCCCTCTTCAAATCAAGACTAAAAATTCACCTATTCAGAACTGCATACCCCACTTAACTATCTACATTGTCTTTTCTTATCTGTTTCTTATTTCTTACTGTTTTTATTTTTTATGTGTTGTACGGTGTCCTCGAGTGCCCAGAGAGGCGCCTTTAAATAAAATGTATTATTATAACTTGGAAGAGCGCCATTTCCTTTCAGAACTTGCTTTTTGTTTTAATTGGCGGCTTTGGTGGTTGTACCACGGTGCTAGCCTCCTATGTTTTAATTTTTTTTCATAATTACACTCTGACTCCATATTTTTGTGACCTCCAGTTGGCGTAATCGGGTGTCATTACCGCCGACGTGAATTACTATCTTACTATATTTACTTTTATCTTTAGCCAGCAGTTTTAAATACGATTCAATATCACCTGCTTTGGCCCCAGGGATACATTTAACTGTGGTCACTGGCTTTGCTAAATTCACTTTCCTAACTATCGAGCTGCCAATAACCAGAATTGGTTTCTCAGCGGGTGTGTCACTGACTGGGGAAAATCTATTTGACACATGAACCTGTTGGTGGGCTTCTGCTGTCTGGGACTATGCTTCCTTCGGACAGTCACACAGACTCCCTGGCTTCCCGGCTGCTCGGGAACCACGGTTAGCAGAAGCTACACTGGGTCAGCCTGCACCGACTACTGGGGGCTGGCTAACTATTGTGGCTAAAAATTTCTCTGTGGTGCGGTGCCATGCACATTACTATCTTTGGTGATTGATCATTTTGATAACAAAAATTAATTGGTCGTACCAACAGTTTGGTGCACATTTAAACGATTGTTATCACAGCAAATGATGCCCTGTGTGAGGCATAGTACTAAACATTTGTAAACACACTTTGAGAAGGGTCACGGGGCCTTGTCACAACCAAAAATGGTTCCCCATGTGAGGTATAGTACAATCGTATTAGGTTTTTTATTCAATTCGATTTTATTTGTATAGCGCCGATTCATAACAGAAGTTATCTCAGGACACTTTCCAAATAGAGCAGGTCTAGACCGAACTCTTTAAAACATTATTTACAGAGACCCAACAGTACCACCATGAGCAAGCACTTGGCGACGGCGGCAATGAAGAACTTCCTTATAAAAGGCAGAAACCTCTGACAGACCCGGTTCTAGGTGGGTGGGAGAGAGAGAGACAGAGAGAGAGAGAGAGAGAGAGAGAGAGAAAAGGTAACGACAGAAGGAAAGAGACAGAGAACAGGTGCACAGCAACAATAGAAGCAACAACTGCACTAATAGTAGTGACTAAAGGGTATGATGAACATGAAGAAGAAGTACTATTACTTTTACTGAAGTAAATTATGATTACTACGTCCACCACTGCACACTGGGAGTCACCAGCAGTTTTCCCTTTTTCAAAACTTTATTGAACAGGAACAACAAAGACAGACAGAGGATTTGAGAAAAAGAACATACACTGTAGTGACATCACAGCGACATGAGGACAAGAATATTAAAGAAATAATAAAATAAAGTAGATAAATTGAATACAAATACAAAATTTCACATTCTTAATGTAGAAGGGTGTTTTAATGTTTATTAAAAGGCTAAAAATGAAGGTTTGTGATTTATGAATATGTGTTATTTGCAAACAATAACATCAAGTAAATAACAATAATAATAATAATAATAGAATTGGCTTCCACAGAGGAATAATCAGTAAAAGCCAACACGTTGAATAATAAATGTGTTGACATCATGAAAAAGAGACAGAAAGCTTCAAATCGCTAAAGCAACAATTAACATCAACGTCCTGTTTATATTTCTGACACTCTGGAAGGAAAATTTACTCGAATTGCAATTTTACACAAATTGCAGATAATTGAGTCTTGGACCTGTTTGACACCAGACTGATGTGACACTATATCTACTATACTAACATGTCAGTCTGATCACTTTTATATTTGTTGATGAAATGATTGTTTATGGAATGCTTGATTTCCTCACTACAACTGTTCCACAAGTTCACCTCTTTAACACAAGGGGATTTCTGACATCAGTGCTTAAACTTGCAGATTAACCTCAAATCATTTGGACTTTCTCTCATTTCAAACAACTTTTGGACTCTTTCAGCTCGTCATTAGTTTCGGATTTTATACCTGATCTGTGCTGTTTGAAAATCCACCAACTCTCTGAATTTTACAGCCTTTTATTAAATAAACAGCTGAGTCGGTTCTTGATCAGTAGTTTGGTTTACACTTCTTATGTCTCTCTTTTCAAAGGTAAAAATCTGATTTGTGTTTGTTTGTTTCCCCAAATGGGCACACAGTCAGTGATGTATGGAAGTAGGAGTGAACAATACAAAGTGGAGAATGAAGCTGGATTTAACAAATCCTTCATTTTATACAGTGTTGGGATCCAATTGGACAGTTTTGCTTTGACATCATTTAGATGTGGTTTCCAGCATCATTTATTATCTAGAATCATCCCAAAACTTTGATTTCTTTAGATTTCAACCTGACTTATCAAAGTTTGTACATTTGTTCCACGATGACCAAAGATGATGAATTTAGTTTGTTCAAATCAAAGCCACTCTTTACACCTTGGAACTATTTTTACACACAAAAGAGAGACCCTTCTTATGTCTCTCTTTTCAAATATAAAAATCTGAACTATCTGGTCAGCAGTGAGAAAATTTCTCTCTCTCTCTCCTACAGAGGACACAGAGACACTGAGGAACCAGAGCTGTATGACCCAAATCCAGGATAAAGAGGTTCAGTGAATGTGGTGTTGAAGGTGTGGAGGTGGATCAGTGTGTCAGAGGAGACTGTGTAGAAGGACAGAGTGCCAGCAGGACAGTCCACATACACTGCTACTCTACCAGAGGAGGAGGAGGAGGAGGAGGAGGAGGAGGAGGAGGAGGAGATGAATGTTCTTCTGTTATTGTGACAGACATAGTAACCACCATCAAAGCAGTCCAGACTCCAGGACTGATCAGTCCATCCAAACACACAGTCTCTACTGTTTCCTTTCCTGCTGATTCCTCTGTAACTCACTGATATAGAAACCCATCCTCTCCACTCGACCTCCCAGTAACAGCGACCAGTCAGAACAGTTCTACACAGCAGCAGAGGCCAGTAGTCAAATCTGTCTGGATGATCAGGATATGACTGATCCTCCTTCACATGAATCATCTCCCTGTTGTTGTCAGACAGTTTGATCTTTCTGTTCACTGTGTTTGTGTCGACTGTGAGTTCACAGGAATCTGATGGAGAGAACAAGACACACTACAGCTGCAGTTATTGATCTATCATCTGATCATTGATTGACACTTTGATGATGACATCAGAGCTGTGAATGAGTGATGTCACAGTGTGAAGATGGTTGAATGTGTGCTGCTTTGTTTTCACACTTACACTTCCTCAGACCTGGTCTCAACCATCGGACTCCAGCAGGCTCCACCCTGAAAGGAGGAGGGGGGTCAGAGCAGCATGGAAACATGGACATTACATCGCTCTCATACACAGAGCTTATTCTCTACAAATGGACTTACATCTTCACATGGAGCACTTATTATTAATCAGCTGATAGTCTTTCAGTTCAGTGGAGCTTCTTCTTATTGGCTGATGGCTGCAGCTCATTATTTTCACTGAGTGATTCAATTCAATTTTATTTGTATAGCGCCAATTCATAACAGAAGTTATCTCAGGACACTTTTCAAATAGAGCAGGTCTAGACCGAACTCTTTATAACATTATTTACAGAGACCCAACAGTACCACCATGAGCAAGACCTTGGAGACAAGGGCAAGGAAAAACTGCCTGTTAAAAGGCAGAAACCTAGGACAGATCCTTCAGCTCTAGGTGGGTGGTCGTCTGCCTCGGCCAGTTGGGGTGAGAGTGAGAGAGAGAGAGAGAGAGAGAGACAGAGAGAGAGAGACACAGACAGACAGACAGGTGCACAGCAACAACAGTAGTAGTGACTGATGATGAACATGAAGAAGATGATGACGACGACAACAGTAACGATGGGGGACAATGAGCAGTGACAACAGCAACAACAGTAACCGTAGCTATAATAATACTTATAATAATAATAACAATAATATCAGTGATATTAGCATTGGCAGTCAAGCAGGACCATGGCAGGGATGGTTCAGGACTCACCTGATCCAGCCCTAACTATAAGCTTTATCAAAGAGGAATGTCTTAAGCCTACTCTTGAATGTGGTGAGGGTGTCTGCCTCCCGAACCACAACTGGAAGCTGGTTCCACAGGAGAGGAGCTTGGTAACTGAAGGCTCTGGCTCCTGTTCTACTTTTAGAGACTATAGCCACCAGCTGCCAGGAGCAACAGGATCATCCCATCCCAATCTCTCTTTAGCTCTGGTCTATCTCTACCAACTCCTGAGAGAAATATCTAGCTCTTTAGCTCTTAAATGCTTCACTAGTCTCAGACCGTCTCCTAGCCACAGTCAACACTGGTTTATATTATTGTTATTATACACCATGAGAGTGAACTGCGAGAACAGGAATCAGTGTGTTCTCTCCAAGTTTGATGTCAGTAAATAACAGTAATGTTGATGTGTGGTTTGTAATGAATCTCTGCAGCTGCTACAGCTGGCAGCTCTCTGTCTGTCTGTCTGTCTGTCTGTCTGTCTGTCTGTCTGTGTCTGTCTGTCTGTCTGTCTGTGTCTGTCTGTCTGTGTTGATGAACGCCAACAGGCAGCAGTCTTTATTAACTGCAGCTCAGACAAGATAACCATGCTGTGTTTACTTGCATGAAACAGAAATGAAGCTTTTCAGCAGCAGGAATCTCTCTGAGCACAAGTCCAAGCAAGGTGTGATGGCACTCATAGGCACAGATCATTATCGAGTCTCTCAGTCAATATTTTACAACTCTGTAGTGCAAGATGGAAAGCAATGGATTGATATTGACTATTGAATAAATATTTACATTTAAATGTTGATTAGCTGGGCATACTGGACAATATGGATGCACATTTCTCAGTAAATAATAACCACCAAGTATTCAGTCAAGCCATAGTATAAATAGTATTTTATATTGGAAAATGGACAAAAGAAAATCTGGGCAATCCAATTTAACTAGGCCTGATGCAGATACTGAGAGATTAAACTGCAGGCAGAGGCTGTAGGCTTATGTTCACATTGTAAAGACAAAGCCATTTGTATAATATAGTGAGGATTGGAATAATTACCAGGCAGCAGAGACCGTGTTAGATTTCATATTACATTATTTTCTTCATTTTACGTTTTCTACAATTTCTTATTTATATTGTTAATATTCACTTATCTTAAGATTCTATAAAAAATATTCTACTCAATAAATAGTTTTTTTATACCTTACTCTGCTATATGTCTCTACTTATTCTTAGACTAACAGATGGGGTAAACTGTTTTAAAGGAAGGAAGATTGTAAATAGTAAATGGAATGTACTTATATACTTTATAGTCTTTCGACCACTCAATGCGCTGTGCACTACAGCCACACTCATTTACACACATTCATACACAGATGGCAGTGGCTTCCATGCAAGGTGCCAACTGCTCACCAGAATGGAAACTAATCATTCACACATACTCATACAGTCAGGGATCGAACGATCTGATTAGTGGACGACCTCTGAGCCACAGCTGCACCAGTGGGAGTAGTGGGAGCACTGGGGTATCAGGTGTGACTGTGTGGCAAAGATAAATAGTTTACATGGCTCACAGGTTCAGTAGCAGCTTATATATAGTGTCAATGGTTAGGAGGGCCCCTTAGCAGAATTTAGCTTTAGGCCCGAGGGAGGTTAGGACTGGCTCTGTTTACTGTGTCCCCCCTATAACTTTGGTACAGTCCTAAATAAAGATCTTTGGCCTCCGAGACACCATGTGGACAGTCAGCTGTAGGTTCTTGGACGATCTGTGGCTGACTGTCACCTGTAGTTCCTATAGTCTGTAAAAGTAGAACCGGAGCCTGGTGCGTACCCCTCCTCTCTTCCCTCTTTTCCTTGGTCGGATTTCTGCCGGGATGACATTGGGTGGCTTGATACTGCAGAGTTTGGAGTTCCGGAGTTGTAGCAGAGCATCAGTGGTGTAAGTGAGTCCATTGTTGCCGCGGATCTCGGGTAGTATTGCGCCGCAATCACGGGTAATCCACAGTACAATTATAACGATCCAAATCACTTGGTGGCCTTCAATCATAATGACAGACAATAATGTGCAGACTAGACTTTCCACCATGGGCTCAGCACCCCTAAAACTTGGAGTAAGAAATGTCTAAAACTTTTGTTCGTCTTTGACAAGGTTAAATAATGTCCAAAACATACTCAGTAGTTTGTAGTTTAAAATGTATATGTTAAGGACGAATATGAAAACATCCCCGCTTAGCAAATGGTATCATCCTCTTCTCACCTTCTTCTCCTCTGTACCTGCTCCGCTCCGCAGCCCGACCGTCGTCCAGCGCGAAACACACTCACAGTGAGAATCCATTATGTAGTGTTGTGAATCAACTATGTAAGTTGCTCCAAAGCTGTGTCTCACACTTCTTTCCTTTTACCTAGAGTTGTTCCGATTCCGTGTGTCTGTTGTTAAAGTTTATCGTTACTTTGAGACTCATATTAACAATCGTCATGTAAACATGACGTCATGCGCGTCTTTTCTGGTCAGTTGTCATGGAAACATGAAGCCCTGCCAGTGATGCAGCGTTTGGACCAGAGTGAAAACAAACGACAGATCACTGTATACCAGCAGAATGTGTGAAAACACTCACTGTGGCTTTTTAAATATCTGTTATTTTTCAGTTGTGTCTGACTATAAAACTAGACAATAAAAGAAAGTTAAATGTTTTTCTTTTGCTGTATTCATTCATGTTTTACAGAGGATTTAACCTGAACTAGGCTTTGCAACAATAATAATCACATCACATTCATGCAGGCGTAGTAGTATATACTACACACACACACACACACACACACACACACACACAGCAGGTCTATATATATAGGCTATAACACACAGGTATGAGATGTGTGAAAGATAACTCCTAGTTACTCTCTCTCTTTCTATTTCTCTGTGTTTGTGTGTGTGTGGCCTGCCAGTGAGCAATGGACATACGACAGTTCTTTAAAAGAAAAAAGACAGATTCAGGTGAGAGACTAGGGACAGTCCACAATGACCTCTGTCTTGTTGTTTTTTCTTCCAAAAAGTGTCAAGCTAAAGTAACAGATAATATAAACCAGCTATCTGTATGTTGTATCAAATGACTTATGTAGGCAATGGTCCCCTGCTTTTATTTTTATTTTTTATTTTTTTAAATTTAAAACCCACAATGGAGAAAACAGCTTCTCTTGTGAAATGAATTTGTGATTTAAAAGACTATTGTGTTTCTAAGCCCAATAATAATAATGATAATAATAATAATAATAATAATAATAAAGATATTTAAAATGACACACCTCTGTGTGCCTTTTGATCATATCCTTAGAATCTGTAAATGGTCTCCATAACATTTTTGTGACATGACAAACTGACCTCAACTCTCCTGCCTACAATATATATGTGTATGATTGTCAGTGCGAAGGGAAAGAGAGAAAGATGGAGATGGAGAAAGGGAAAGAGAGAGCATGCAGGAAGAACCAGGTGAGGAAACAACAACAATAAATTGACATATAGTGAATAGTGGCAAGCAAAACAGTAACTACTCATACTCCTATACTAACTTATTGGCATTAAGTAGCCTATATTACATTTACTTTTTGTAACATATTATTTTACACCACATTTTTTCATATTAAAGAGGAGGAGAAGAACAGGGAGAGTCCATAAGGGATGAGAGGGAGACAGAGAGTGCAACATAGAGACCACCAAGCCAAAGCAGCAGGGACAGAAGAAAGCTGTTCAAACTTAGGGGATAAGGACACTGGTCCTAAACAGGTAAAGCTGTCTCAATACCCTCATACTCAGTTTGGCACACAAAAAAGGGCCTTTCAAGAACAGTGGTTCAAAAGTTTCACATGGCTGGAATACTCAGCTAGACAAAATGCTGCTTTCTGCTTTCCTTGTAGGGTATTTGGCAAAAATGTCAGAAAGGATGCACTTGTTAATGATGGAGTTAATAACTGGCAAAAGGCACTTAGCAAGTTTCAAAAACATGAAACAACACAGTCATATAAGGACAGTGTTGTTTGTTGGAACAGCTACAAAGCAAGCCTGTCAAAAGGGAATGTTGTAGAGCAGATAGAGGCAGCAAGTGTCACTGAAATTAACAAAAGAAGGGAGTACCTAGAGTGTATTATGGCAGTAACCTGCTTCTTGGGGAAGCAAGGCATAGCATTCAGAGGTCATGATGAAACAGATGAGAGTCACAACAAAGGCAATTTCCTAGAGTGCATGTCACTTTTGACCAAATTTGATCCCTTCTTGCAGAGATACACAGCCCCTTCAAACACCACGTGCCTCTCATCTGAATGAGATGATAGAGTGCTGTTCACAAGAACTAACAGAAAATATCATCAGTGAGATAAAGGGAGCCAATATGTATGCCATTATGGCTGATGTGGCCAGGGATGGAAAGACAGAACAGTTGGCACTCTGTGTCAGGTACGTGTCTGTTGAGGGTGCCGTCAAAGAAAGGTTCCTAGCCCTTACAGAGGTGTCACAGTTTGATGCTACTTCGATAACAGCTGCAATTGAAAATCAGTTGGTAAAGAAGGGAATTGATCAGTTGAAATGTGTGGCACAGACCTACGATGGGGCAGCTGTCATGAGTGGGGATGTTGGGGGTGTACAACCCATTTAAAAAAAAAGCACCCTGAGGCAATCTATGTGCATTGCTATGCACATGAGTTAAATCTTGTTTTATGCCAGACATGCAAAGCTGTCTCTGAAGCCACCGAGTTCTTCAACATGCTGGAAAGTCTCCATTCTTTCTTTAGTGTCTCCCTTTTAAACCACCGTAAGTTCATAGACACTCAAAAGAAGTTAGGGTTGCAGCCAAGAGAACTTGTGCAGTTGTCAACTACACGCTGGGCATGCCAGCTTCATTCAGTGACTGCAGTGATTGATAATTTCCCTGCTATCATTGATAATTTCCCTGCTATCACTGAGTGCCTCTCCACAATCAAGACACCGACAGCAGTTGGATTAAGGGCAAAACTCAGTAAATTCTCCTCAGTGTATTTGCTGATGGTTTTCCACACTCTTCTGTCTGTAACAGCAGGTTTACACAGATACCTACAGAAGGAGACCATTGACATTGCCCAAGCAGTGACATACAAAAATGCAGTGACTGACACCATGAAGCAGAAACGCAGTGATACCACTGCTGCAGACCTGTACTCCAGAACAAAAGCTATGTGTGAGGAAAACCAGATAGCAGTCTTAGAATCATCCTCAGGACAGAGGCGGAAGACAAAGAGAATGGATGAATATGTTGTTGAGTCAACTTGTGGGGCAGGCAGTGAAACCTTTGGTTCCTCGGAGTCTGAAGATCTCAGGAGGAAACTTTTGTTTCCTTGTCTGGACCGAATGATTTGTGAACTTGAGAGGCGTTTTCTGGTGTGAATGAGGAGGTGCTCAATGGAATTCAGGCATGCAGTCCAACCTCAGGCCATTTCTTGTCTGAGCCTCATCTGACAACACTGGCTCTGCATTACCATATTGGACTTAATTCAGAGGAAGTGATAGTTGCAAAAAACTTTCTGAAGCGCAAGAGTGAGGCTGGTACAGTTCAGGACATGCTAGCAGTGTACAGACTCCTAGATTCTGAAATGTTCCCTTCACTGAAAGCTGTTATGCAGGTTGCCTTGACAATACCAGTTAGCAGCTGTACGTGTGAGCGGTCTTTTAGTGCCTTGCGTCGGCTCCATACATGGCTCAGGAGGACCCCAGGCCAAAGCAGACTCCAGCACCTAGCTGTGATGTCTATTGAGAAGGAGTTGCTTGAAAACATTGAACACCAAAGGGTCATTGACAGGTTTGCCACCATCAAAGTGCGGAGACATAGATTAACTCTCCCAAAGTAGAGTTTATTACCTGCATACATGGAAGAGCCAAATGGGGATTCAGGGGAAGTACTTTCAAAGACCTCTTTCTTTTTTTATATCTTTACTTTCTAAGTATTTTAAGACCTGGGTAAATAATCTGGATTCTTTGGACTTTTTGGTTTTACCTTCTTTTTTTCCTTTTTTTTTTTTTTGCTCTTGATGTGATGTGCTCTTGTTTTATTATTAATTATTGATGCGCATATTGGTTTATGAAAGTTCAGACAGGTGTGCAACCAAGTAGGTTCGCGATGGCCATTTGTAAATTATTTACAGAAGATGACTTTTTTTGTCCAAGTACCTGTTACTTTGTTCAATGACAATAAAGTTGAATCTAATCTAATCTAATGACTGTTGATACAAAAGGAGGCACATGGAGTTAACGGTCAGGAAAACCAGCTGAGTGAAGAAGGTTTTGTGTTTGTTACAGGGGGCTGTCTGTGTGAACTGTCACAATAAAGCTGGTGTTCTGGAAAGGTCTCCAAAAAAAGAAAACAAAAATCTGGATTTTGGAGTTAGTTGAACAAATGTTAAAATGATAAAGTTATTTTTCGATAGACATATTTTTTGTTTTTGTGTGACAAAAGGGTGGGTGGTGGCAGTGGGGCTCATTGGGTGCTCAGCACCCCTAAAGCTCTGACCCTAGAATCACCCATTCCCTCCTTAGGCGTCGTGCATAATTTCAGGCCATCGCCACAAGGTGGCGCTCTTTAAAATGAAGAAGTTTATATCGCCGCATCGGCACGTGTGATTAGAATGAAACTTGGTAAGATGCTTGCCCATGGCTCCCTGAGGCTCACTAATAAATGTATCAACAATCCGCCACTGGTGGCAGTGTAAATCCCTGTGCGGAGACCGTATAGGTGTAGAGTGGTGCCTGTAGCTCACATACCAAAAATCGTGTTTGTTGTGTTTGTATCGCCCCCTACAGGATTTTAAAAAAGCAGCTCCGGCGCCACGTTTCACCAATATGTATGAAACATGGTAGGCACGTGATGTGTGCCAAGACGTACAAAAAAGCCTCTTGGACCCATACCTCAAACCCCACGGGAAGTCAGCCATTTTGATTTTCATTTTCACTTTCAGCGAACTTTTCGCGTTGTATTTGAACAAACTACTCCTAGGGAATTTATTGGATCTGCTTCAAAATTGGTCTATACAGTCAAAGTATGGTGCTGATTAAAAGTTGTGCTATTTAAGACTGTACGTTGAAGGGCATATCTGTGGCATGTCTTCAAAGTTGCCCATTTTGAATTCTGTGGTCATACAAACTGTAGATGAAAGTTGAGCTATTTGTGACCTTACGTCAAACCGCGTGCCAGTGACGACTTGTGGAATTCAGCCGATTTGCCATAAAACAATACTCATAACTTCAGCGTGCATTGTCCAATCTCCAATAAACTTAACATATATTCTGTAACAGTCTCGCCCTGAACACGTCCTCATAACTTCAGTGTATGTGGTCAGATTTCAATGAAACTTCACGTGTTTGATAAGAGTCCCGCCCTGATCATGTCTACATGACAATATTCAGACATAGTAATAGCGCCACCTAGTGGCAACAGGAAGTAAGCCCTGAGTGGCGATTTTAAGCTGATTTACATGAAATTTTCATGTTGTAGTCTGCACATGTTACGACGGCACGTTACGCGGCCGCAGCACACCCGAGTTGCGTGGAGTGCGAGGTCCCACCTAACGCTGCTTGCAGCTTTAATTGTTATTATTATTATTATTGTTATCATCATCATTATTATAGTTACTATTATTATTGCCCATTGTTGTCGTTGTCATCATCTTTTCATGTTCATCATCATCATCAGTCATTTCTATTAGTGTAGTTGTTACTGTGCACCTTTGTCTCTGACCTTCTCTACCATTCATCCTCTCTTTCTGAACTAAAAGGTAACACACACTAGTGGCAGATGACATCCATCACAATATCCCAAAATATTTATGATATGAGCCACAAACCTGCAGCATGACCACACTGACAAGAAAAAGAAGAAAATTTCCTAACCTTTCCTCCCTCCTTTGGAAAACTGTCACCTGACTACTACTACTGTATTTATCCTCCTCATACCTGAGAGTGTCCAGTCTCCAGTGTGGATCCTCCAGTCCAGCAGACAGCTTTGCTCCTGAGTCTCCTGGATGATTGTAGCTCAGGTCCAGCTCTCTCAGATGGGAGGGGTTGGAGCTCAGAGCTGAGGCCAGAGAAGAACAGCCTTCCTCTGTGATCATACAGCCTGACAGCCTGCAAACACACAAAATAACACATTACTTAATAAACATGTTCAAGGAAAGGAACTCAAACTAAATAACCAAAACAATGTTTTGAGACAATTTTATTCATTAACATAATTCAGGTTTAAAGTTGTTATCACTTGAACGAGTTGATGAATCCTGACCTGAGAGTTTCCAGTGTACAGTGTGGACTCTTCAGTCCCACATTCAGCAGCTTCAGTCCTGAATTCTGCAGATTGTTGTTACTCAGGTCCAGCTCTCTCAGACTAGAGGACTGGGAGCTGAGAACTGAGGACAGAGCTTCACAACTTCTCTCTGAGAGGTTACAGTCACTCAGTCTGAAGAGACAATAAGCAACAATAAGAAAAAAAACATTTGTGACCAGCACTTTATCACTCAGACAAAAACAAGAACACTTTAAACTGGTTCTGTAAAAATGATATCAGCTAGTGAGGAGTTCCCAATTAGGTGATTTATAATGTCTTTACAATCTCTCTAAGTCGAAAAGAGTATTTAAGTAAAAATACAGAAATTCAACTCTGTCTGTACTTACAGAGCTTTGTTGGAGACTTTGACCACTGGCAGCAGCCTCAGAAGAGCCTCCTCCGAAGCAGAGTATTTCTTCAGGTCAAACACATCCAGATCTTTTTCTGATGACAGTAAGATGAAGACCAGAGCTGACCACTGAGCAGGAGACAGTTTATCTGTGGAGAGACTTTCTGAACCCAGTGACTGTTGGATCTGATCCACTAGAGAACGATCATTCAATTCATTCAGACAGTGGAACAGATTGATGCTTCTCTCTGCAGAGGGAGTCTCTTCGATCTTCTTCTTGATGTACTGAACTGTTTCCTGATTGGTCTGTGAGCTACTTCCTGTCTGTTTCAGCAGACCTTGTAGGAGATTCTGATTGGTCTGCAGTAAAAAGCCCAGGAGGAAGCGGAGGAACAAGTCCAGGTGTCCATTTGGACTCTGTAAGGCCTTGTCCACGGCACTCTGGTGGAGATGTTTTAGATTCTGTTTGTCCTTAAATAATTTAGACCACCAGGGTGTTGTTTGTTGTTCTGCCAGCAGATTGATTCCAGAGTTGATGAATGTCAGATGGACGTGAAGAGCAGCCAGAAACTCCTGAACACTCAGATGGATGAAGCAGAAGACCTTGTCCTGGTACAGTCCTCTCTCCTCTTTAAAGATCTGTGTGAACACTCCTGAGTACACTAAGGCTGCTCTGATATTGATGCCACACTCTGTCAGGTCTGATTCATAGAAGATCAGGTTGCCTTTCTGCAGCTGCTTAAAAGCCAGTTTTCCCAGAGACTCAATCATCTTCCTGCTCTCTGGACTCCAGTGTGGATCTGTCTCAGCTCCTCCATCATACTTGACGTTCTTCAGTTTGGATTGAACCACCAGGAAGTGGATGTACATCTCAGTCAGGGTCTTGGGCAGCTCTCCTTCCTCTCTGGTCTTCAACACATCTTCCAGAACTGTAGCAGTGATCCAGCAGAAGACTGGGATGTGGCACATGATGTGGACGCTTCGTGATGTCTTGATGTGGGAGATGATTCTGCTGGCCTGCTCCTCATCTCTGAATCTCTTCCTGAAGTACTCCTCCTTCTGTGGGTCAGTGAACCCTCTGACCTCTGTCACCATGTCAACACAATCAGGAGGGATCTGATTGGCTGCTGCAGGTCGTGTGGTTATCCAGAGGCGAGCAGAGGGAAGCAGTTTCCCCCTGATGAGGTTTGTCAGCAGCACATCCACTGAGGTGGACTCTGTAACATCAGTCAGGATCTCAGTGTTGTGGAAGTCCAGAGGAAGTCGACACTCATCCAGACCGTCAAAGATGAACACAACCTGGAACTCTTCAAACCTGCAGATTCCTGCTTCTTTGGTTTCAGTAAAGAAGTGATGAACAAGTTCCACCAAGCTGTACTTTTTCTCTTTCAGCACATTCAGCTCTCTGAAAGTGAATGGAAATGTGAACTGTATGTCCTGGTTGGCTTTGTCTTCAGCCCAGTCCAGAGTGAACTTCTGTGTTAAGACTGTTTTCCCAATGCCAGCCACTCCCTTTGTCATCACTGTTCTGATTGGTTCATCTCTTCCAGGTGAGGCTTTAAAGATGTCTTCTTGTCTGATTGTTGTTTCTGGTCTGTCTGGTTTTCTGGATGCTGTTTCAATCTGTCTGACCTCATGTTCATCATTGACCTCTGCAGTCCCTCCCTCTGTGATGTAGAGCTCTGTGTAGATCTGGTTCAGAAGGGTTGGGTTTCCTGCTTTAGCAATCCCCTCAAACACACACTGGAACTTCTTCTTCAGGTTGGATTTAAGTTCACGCTGACACACTCCAGAATGACTTCCTGAGCAGACACAAATAAGGACAATTCATGAGTCAAAGAAATATTTCAGCATTTAATTCCCTTCAGAGAATGACTATGTGAATATATTTTGGTCCTTCTGTTGAGACATCAGTAAATGTCTCATTTATCCAGCGAGTTAAATCTTTAGAGAAATCCTCTTACTGCTCTGCAGACAGTCAGCCAGCTCCTCCTGCTTCATTCTCCTCAGGAAGTGCACTGTGATCTTCAGAAATGCCTCTCTGCTTATCCTCCTCTGCTCTTCATCCTCACTGTCCAACACCTCCTCATCCTGCCTCTGACTCTCTGAGCATTCTGGGTAATCTGAACTCAGAACCTTCTGGATCTTCTTCAGCTCGTTCTTCACAAAAGTGACAATGTTGTCCTCCAGCAGCTGGAACAGAATATTATATGAATGACTCAATCAAAGTCAAATCATGGAAGCAAACATCAGATCCATGTTGGACAGACAGACAATCCACTGGTCTAAAAAGTGCAGCATGGAGATTATTGTGAACACAATTGATGTAAAAGTAGTTGTTGTCCATGTACAGACCATAAATATGGAGTCCAGGTGTGTTTGATGCTGCTGGGCAGACTGACCACTGGGAACCTCTGAGCTCTCCTGGTCCACTCTGTGGAGGAATCATGAAGAATGAGCTCACATTATGTCTGTCCACACAGAGACAAACACAAGGTAAAGGTCCATGAAGTGATATTTGGATGTGAACAGTGAATCTGATGACTCCCTGTAGTGGTAAAGGTTTACTAGTCCTGCTGATCCCACTGAGAATCAACAGTTCAGTTTGGTTCACTGCCAACAGCTCTCACCAACCCCTCCATAGAGCTCTCTCTCCCTCACTGTACACTGCTGAAGTGCCCTGGAGCAAGGCACCTAGAACCTCCAGCTGCTTGGTATGCAGGCAGTTCTTGTTTGGGATTTCTATAAAGTCAGTGTTTGATTTAGACATGTTTCACTGTGTATTTTAAAGCTGTATTCAGTGCAGTGTGCAGTATAGGCGGGGAAATGATGGAGTGGAGCGACCATATCGGTCCAATTAGGATAAAAAAAAAGAACAGACGTGGTGTCAAAGCAGTGAGTTTCTATAAACTGCTGCAACTATTTGTTCACTGTGAAAGTGAGGCTGTTGTAAATTGAGCTGATCAGACACAAACAACACCAACAACAACAACATTTAAAAATAAAGATTTCACAACTAAGAGTCTGATTAAAACAGATCATTTTATTTTCATCATCAGTTTGAAATCCTCACCTTTGATCAACAGAGTGGCGGCCATCTTTGAAGTTTATAGGACGACCCATAGAGTCATCACTCTTCATGGACACACAGCTGGGTTCAGGTTCAGGACAGTCTGGTCTCTGATGGATCCTGATAGAAAGAAATTCATTAAAGCTCACATATTCAGAAACATTGTCACTGAATCAAAGACTTTGTGAAATGATGTATAATTTGAAATGTTTGAATACAGGGCTGGACAATAAGAACAATGTCTTCAATTACTGACATTATGGACGTGTTACTGAACACAATTTACTGATGTCACACACTTCAACACACTGTCTGAATTCCATATAATTAAAGTGAGAGCAGCTACAACATCTAACCAGCGAGCAATCAGCTCCCAGTCCAGTCCAGAAGAGCAGAATGTGGAACTGGTCAGACTGGAATGAATCAGGACAAACATCAGCAGTGAGCAACATGAGGAAGGAAATCTGCTCTGATTGATTCAAACACATGTTACTGTTACATTTCTCATTATGAAGCTGAATGTTTCTCCTGATACTGATTTGAGATCAGATTGTCCAGCCCTGTTTGAATACTGACAACTACGTACTTTAGCTCAGATAAATGTCTTTGTTTCAAATGGAGAATCAAAGCCTTTGTGACATGGAGAAGAGTCATGGACAGTTAGAGATCCTCATCTCACCTCTGAGCTTTGGTCCTTGTGTCATGTTCCCCACACAGAGTGCTTTTAGAGGGAGGGACTCCCTCCTCTCTGTCCTCACACTGATTCATAGCAGAGCCCACACCTTCACACAGACACAGCAACCTGCTGGGAGAGATCACACTTTATTTCATATTTATTTCTATGAATAAATGGATGAATATAAATGGCCTCCTGGAGCTGATGTTGAGGATTTTACTGCTTTGCTTCATGGAAATAAAAACGATGTTGTAGTAACTGACTTTGACCACTGGATGGCAGTGAAGAGTTTAACTATTCTACACCTCCTTCTGTCTGCTCCTCTTTTCCTCCTCCTCTCCTCAAACCAGCAGCTGGCAGCAACCACAGACCTGAAACTGGGTTTCCTGCGTTCCACCACTGATGACAAGATATCAAAGGTTAAGTTGAAGCAGAGAGAAAGGCTTGGTTTGTTGGCACATCTTCAGTTTTGATTTTAGTTGTTTTTACAGTGAAGGCCCTAACCCTTAAAGAACACAAAGACACACATTCATTCAAAATGTCTTCTCTCCTGTTCAGTTTCCCTTTAACACAGAAAAACATCTTTAAAAACTGTTAAAAGTCTGCCAGCAAAAGTTGTCAAATAGTTTCTGTTGAATTTCATTAAAATACAAACTGTTCATCTCCAATAAAATACCATCTAATAACAGGTGGGGGTCAGTCTGATCCCTGCTGGGTCCTAGTGCTGGACCGCCTGCTGCCTCCCCCTCTACATCAATAAAAGTCCTGACTGTTGTGGACCACATCAGACCCCAGATCAGACTGAACTCATCTTCCTCATCACAGAGTCATCATTCAAAGAGAGCACGACTGTTTGAAAGCAGCACAGACTTTAAACAATCACACATTCACCATCAATGTGAGCAGAAACCATTTCAACCAATCAGAGCTCCACTTACTGAACTTTTAGCCATGAACTTCATCAGTGTGCAGCTCTCTTCTGTCCTCAGCAGCTCTGTGGAGAAAAGGAGCTTCATGCTTCAAGTTCAACTTCAGATAAAATGAAGAGACGTCACTGAGTGTGTGTGTGTGTGTGTGTGTGTGTGTGTGTGTGTGTAAGCAGTCTAACTGGTTGGACTGAGTCTCAGACTGAGCTGCGTTCAAAGCAAAATAAATAATCTTGTACAGAGTTGGTTTGACAGCAGACTGGATTCTGATAGTTCAGAGGAGTCGTACTCGCCCCTCTTTGTGACCTGGATTTCTCTTCTATCTGGACTACTGGGGAAGAGGATCAAGCAGAAACCAGAGTCTGACTTCCTGCCCAGAACTTTAATTAATAATACAGTTAACAATATACTGCTTTGTTACCTGGGGAGAAATTTCTCAGACTCTCTTTAAAAATCCCAGTTTTTGATTTGTTGAGTCAGAGGAAGCTTTCTAGACTTTGTGAAACATTTTCTACAACAGGGGCCTCAAACTGAAGACAACAGAGACCGACCTTAGAGCATTTTTTTATTCATTGAATTGAATTCAATTTTATTTGTATATGTAACTGGGTTGAAATTATATTTACTTTACTCCTCCTCACCTATAAAGCTCTTCATGGTCAGGCCCCTTCATATCTTAAAGAGCTCATAGTACCCTATTACCCCTCTAGAACACTATGTTCTCTGAATGCTGGGCTACTTGTGGTTCCTATAGTCTCTAAAAGTAGAACAGGAGCCAGAGCCTTCAGTTACCAAGCTCCTCTCCTGTGGAACCAGCTTCCAGTTGTGGTTCGGGAGGCAGACACCCTCACCACATTCAAGAGTAGGCTTAAGACATTCCTCTTTGATAAAGCTTATAGTTAGGGCTGGATCAGGTGAGTCCTGAACCATCCCTTAGTTATGCTGCTATAGGCCTAGACTATCGGGGGATTTCCCATGGTGCACTGAGCTCCTCCCTTCCTCTCTCTTTCTGCACTCATTCATGTCCCATTAATGCATGTTACTAACTTCACTTCTTCCCCGGAGTTCTTGTGATTTCTCGTCTCGCAGGTTCTCATGGATCCTGCTGGAGCCTCCTACCATGGTCCTGCTTGACTGCCAATGCTAACATCACCGATATTATTATTATTATAAGTATTATTATAGCTACGGTTACTGTTGTTGTTGTTGTCACTGCTCATTGTCCCCCATCGTTGCTGTTGTCATGTTCATCATCAGTCACTACTATTAGTTTAGTTGTTGCTGTTCGTTCTCTCTCCCTCTATGTCTCTGTCTCTGTCTCTCTCTCTCTCTTTCTCTCTCTCTCTTCAAATTCAAAATGGGCTTTATTGGCATGAAAGTTTTTTTTTAAAAACAATATTGGCAAAGCATCAAAATACAATAAGTAAAAATATCATATAAACAATATGAAAGATATGTACATTATGAATATTATATTAGTTATATACGGTGTGTGTGTGTGTGTGTGTGTGTGTGTGCCTCGATCACTCACTGTCCCTCAGGTTGTGGCATGTTAATACATACTGGGCAGCAAGGTGTGCCCGCTCTCCTTCTCCAGGAGTATTTTTAATTTGGAGAGGTCGTTCAGCTCTTTGAAATCTGGTACTAAAGAGCTGAACTGAAGATAAATTTTGCTTGTATCATTTAATTTTGTACATTGTAGGAGAAAGTGCATCTCTGTCTCAACCTCACCTGTCCAACAGTGACCACATTTTCTGTTTTCTTTTGGTTGCCATGATTTTTTGTGTCTTCATGTTTGGATCGGCAGTTTGTGGTCACTGAGCCTGTACTTGGTTAGGATCTGTCTCTGCTTTCTATCTCTGACAGTAGAGAGATATTCTGCTAATTCATAATCTATTTTAAGGGCAAGATAACATTCCAATCTACTTTGGCTTTTAGTTGTTTTTTCCCAATGGTCCAGATAGCTTTCTTTACATTGTGCTATCATTTGTTTTACTCTGATTACTGTTTGTAGAGCAGTGTTGTTGTGAGGCTGGTCAGAGTGTGTCTGAGAGGGGGCAGTTAGCCTCAGTACCAACTGACATAGGGGACTCTTTTCTGGGCTCAGCTCTTGGATTTGGAGGGCTTTGGAGTGGAGGGTGTCTCTGGGGCTGGATTTCAGGTGGTTAAAAAAGTTGAGTGTTCTCTTCTGAATGTTAATTATCAGTGGGTATCTGCCTAATTCTGCTCTACATGCATTTGTTGGTGTGTTTCTGTGTACGTGTAAAATGTATCTGCAGAATTCTGCATGTAGAGATTCTGTTGGATGTTTGTCCCAACGGGTAAAGCTCTGATGACTGAGTGGACCCCATACTTCACTACCGTACAGCGCAATGGGCTGGATGACACTATCAAATATTTAAGCCAGATTTTTATTGGAATATGGAAATTATAATATTTTCTCTTAATTGCATATAGAGCTCTTCAAGCTTTTTCTTTTAGTGCATTCACTGCCATGTTGAAACTCCCTGATGCTGTTATGGTTATACCAAGGTAGGTATAACTCATGCTGTGTTCAATGACATGATTATTGATGGTAAATTGGTGTTTGTTCTCATGACACCTGGGGCGTTTTTGAAAGATCATGACATTGGTTTTCTTCATGTTTACTGCCAGGGCCCAGTTCTGACAGTACTTTTCTACTACGTCCAGCTGTAGCTGTAGTCCTTGTTCAGTAGGAGACAGTAGAACAAGGTCATCAGCATAAAACAGAGACTTCACCTCTCTATCTAGGAGGGAGAGGCCCGGAGCAGCGCATTTATCTAACTCAGCCAGTTCATTTATATACACATTAAATAAAGCCGGACTTAGACTGCAACCCTGCCGAACGCCTCTTCTCTGGGGGAAGAAATCAGTTAGTTTGTCTCCAATTTTAATAGCACACATGTTTTCCAAATACATTGATTTAACCAGATCATACATTTTGCCACCTATACCACAGTTTAAAAGTCTGTAATAGAGCCCTTCATGCCAAATGGAGTCGAAAGCTTTCTTGAAATCAATAAAGCAGGTGAAAATTTTTCCATTCTTAGTTTGTTGTACCTGTTTGTTGATTAAAGTGTGAAGGGTATATACATGGTCGGGGGTGCGGTGTTTTGGGAGGAAGCCAATCTCACTTTTACTCAAGGAAATGTATTATTCTTGTATTAAGAATACTACAGAATAGCGGAATACCTAGAGAGCTGCTGACACAGATGCCACGGTAGTTATTAGGGTCTGATTTGTCCCCACTCTTATGAATGGGGGAAATGAGCCCTTTGCACCAGATGTTGGGAAAACATCCTGCCTGTAATATAACATTGAACAAATGTAACACTGCATCCTGCATTTCTGGGGTGCTGCTTTTGAGCATTTCGTTTCTAATGCTGTCTGGACCACAAGCTTTCCTTGGCTTCAGACATTTTGTCTGTGTGGTTATTTCGCAATCAAGGGGGTTTTGGTTGTCTTTAATTGTTTCTTCTAATTTTTGGAGTTTTTCT